CAAAAAGTCTTAGTTAATGGTTTGTTAATAGCGAAAATTTAACCTTAAATTTGGCATGACCAAAAATGATCAGGACAAGAACTGTTTTTAAGTTACTTTAACTCATTTTAACGTATTAATCAGGTTTTAACCATTTTTTTAACCCAGGCTCATTCTGAAAACGTAGTCCAGCGGATGTTTCTGGAGACCGCGAAATACGTCCCGGGAGGTACGTATGGCTGCATTTAATTTTTTTAAGCGAACGCTACGAGTCGGTGTGACGCCGTTCCCTTTCGCGCTTGCCGGCTGACCGCTTACCTCCGTGCGGAGGGCTTTCCCGCTGAAGTCAGTTTGTCTGGTCAGCTCATTGTGTGCGTCGGCGGACTTCAGACGCAGAGAGGAGAAGTTGACAAAGGCGTGTGGGTTCGAGTCCGGGGAAGAGCGGTTCCAGAAACCAGGTAAGACAAAAACAGGATCCAAAAAATAAAGCGAACGAGTTCATAACAGGGCGAGAACGCGTTGAAATCTGAAAAACAGACAAAGGTTTTTCTTTTTCTAGACGGCTTTTCTAAATTGTTGCTCGGGTTAAGGGAAGTGAGCGGGCAGGCGGGTCAATCGGTAAAACTGGTTGGGTTCAGGGAAGAAGGAGAGTGGGTCAGCCGATTGGCCGGTCACTCAGTCAATCATTCGGTCAGTCAGACAGCGGCCTCTGGTGGGTTGACGCGAGAACAGCGGGGGTGCGAACGGCACTCGCAAGAGACGTTCGAGATACGAAAAAGCGCGCACAGCGGCCTCTCGAAGATTCGCAAAAACAAAAACTGCACAAATACGTACCTCCCGGGACGTATTTCGCAGTCTCCAGAAACGTCCGCTGGACTACGTTTTTTAATAATGAGCCTTGTATTTTGAGTTAGTTTGATCGGTGATAGAATGAAAAGTTCATTTAATTAAACTTAAATTGTATGTAATGCCTTGTGATTTTTTTCATTACATTATGGGGAAAAAACTGATATGAATTTAATGGAAAAATTATTAATATTATTTAAATTATCATCATAAAGTTGATTTATAGATCATGGTACTCTTTCACCTTATATCTGATATTGCGATCATTGCAGTATTTACAAAACATGTTTTTGTATAAACTATTTCTTATAAAATGCATTTATAGAGAAAAGCTTTATTTATCCACATATTGATTAACTACATGAAGGACATTGTGCTTTTCTGTCCATTTAATCACTTCAAGAAAAAAGGATGTGGTCATGCCTGTACTTGCAAATCTGTTTATCCATCTGCACGTAAATCCAGATGTAAGGAGAAGTGAAATCATGCACAGCACCTCCTATTTCCTGTCTAAACCAAGCAGTAGCACATGGACGCATATTTGGACGTCACCGGAATCTCATGACTAATCACCACAGTTCCTCAAACAACAACAAAAACTCACAGAACTATATGCATTATGGCAGTGGTTCTCAAACTGTGGTACATGTACGCGAAGGAATCAAATATGTCATATGTACATGCTGCATATATTTCAAAATGTATCAAAAATGATTTATATATGAATATGACATATAATAATTTATTCAGGCTTAGTCCCTTTATTAATCCGGGTTCACCACAGCGGAATGAACCGCTAACTTATCCAGCAAGTTTTTACACAGTGGATGCCCTTCCAGCTGCAACCCATCTCTGGGAAACATCCACACACACACACACACAATTATACACTATGGACAATTTAGCCTACCCAATTCACCTGTACTGCATGTCTTTGGACTGTGGGGGAAACCGGAGCACCCGGAGGAAACCCACGCGAAGGCAGGGAGAACATGCAAACTCCACACAGAAACACCAACTGAGCCAAGGTTCGAACCAGCGACCCAGCGACCTTCTTGCTGTGAGGCAACAGCACTACCTTCTGCGCCACTGCCTCGACCGACATATAATAATATTTCTTATAATAATAATATATTTGACTACTATATGTTAAAACTTTACATTTAAGAACAGCACTTGTTTACTTTTTAAAAACAGTAACCTACCATTTTTAACTTTTAAAAGCACATTTTAATTTAAATGTTGATGTTTTTCGTTTTTTTTGTTTGTTGTTTTACATATAAGCACAGTACAGTGTATTGCTCAAACTATTTATTATGTTCAAAGTGGCTGACAGTAATAAATATTCTTAATAATAGGAATTAATCTGACACATTTTGAACTGTTCTGAGCTGTAGCTGCTTTACTAGGCTTACTATGCTACTGTATTTCAATACTGCTCATTATGATGGTCCTTGGAGAGACCATTTTTTTCTGAGGTGGTACTTGATGAAAAAAGTTTGAGAACCACTGCATTATGGCATACATTTAATGTACTGCATTGTTTTGAATCCCTGACTACACTGTAAAAAATGCAGCATTCCACACAATTCATTCATGTTGTCCCAAAGCAAATAGATTAAGTTAACGTAACAAGTTGAAGTGGACTGAACATAAAACAATTACGTTTTCCAATAAAATCTCCAGAGTTGTGTTATTTAAGCTCATTTTAAATGAGGAGTTTGAACAAGCAGCAAAAATGTGTATTTTTGAGAGCAGTTTATGCCTTAGATTTACGGTGACATTGGGTACTGTGACATCATTTTATAAACGTGTTAATGAGGTTATTAACACAATCAGGCACAAGAAAATCCTTTAAATAAAACAAAATGATACGCTGAGAAAAAAAAAACAGTCCATGATTTTCTTATGTACTGGTGGCCTACAGTTTTTCTCAAAACCCATGGCATTATCTGCTTAAATGTTTGTGAATTTGCAGTGAAAATACACATTATTCTTGTAAAAACAATTATTATATTGCTCTCAATCACTATTGGTGCTGGAAAATCCTGGATGTACTAAAAAAACAGCTAATAAATGCAATCATCACAGTAATAACAGCTGATATTTAAGGGATAGTTCACACAAAAATGTTAATTCTGTCTATCTATGCACCCTTGATGGACTGGGGTGGACTGGGACAGTATTTTCAGCCAGTAAAGTTATTGTACCTCAGGCCACCTAAGCGTTTAGGAAGTGAAAAGTGGGCGGTAAAGAGCTGGATGCGGCGATTGGTAAGAGCTGGATGCGGCGATTGCTCCCTATGGCCTCTCCGCACCTACTTGTTTCAAACTCAGAGCTCCCTATGGCCAGTCCACCCTGCTTGTTCCAAACTCGGAGCTCCCTATGGCCAGTCCCCCCTGCTTGTTCCAAACTCGGTGCTCCCTATGGCCTCTCCGCACCTACTTGTTTCAAACTCAGAGCTCCCTATGGCCAGTCCCCCCTGCTTGTTCCAAACTCGGAGCTCCCTATGGCCAGTCCCTTCTGCTTGTTCCAAACTCGGAGCTCCTCATGGCCAGTCCCTCCTGCTTATTCCAAACTCAGAGCTGCCTATGGCCAGTCCACCCCTGCTTGTTCTACACCCGGTGCTCTCTATGGCCAGTCCGCCCCTGCTTGTTACAAACCCCGTGCTCCTTATGGCCAGCCCCCCCTGCTCCTTTCAAAACCGGTGCTCCCTATGGCCAGTCTGCCCCTGCTTGTTTTAAACCTGGTGCTCCCTATGGTCAATTCCCCCTTGCTTGTTCCAAACCTGGTGCTCCCTATGGCCAATCCGCCACTACTTGTTCCAAACCAAGCTTTGTTGTTTTGTAGAATACAAAAGAAGATCTTTTGAAGAAGCATTGCCTTTCGCAGTATTTGTTTTTGTCAATGGTTACCAATTTCCAACATTCTTCGAAATATCTTCTTTTCAGAGTTCGCTCAGAAATTGTTGTTTGTTCAAACTACTTATTTAAACTTAAACTTTTTTAAACACAACTTTTGAGGGGGGGGGGGGGGTGCACTTAATTGTTTTGTGTTCAATTAGCTTAAATTTCTGAAAAACTAATAAGATAATGTACCCCCGCCAGTCCTACGTCACCCAACCCGCTCCGAGCTGGTATTGAACCGGCGACCTTCCGCATGGGAGTCGGTTGCTCTAACAAGGAGGCTAAAGACCATGGCCTCTTGTGTCTGTCGCTAGAGCACCTTTAGAGGTCAGAGGAGTGAGGTATACCTGCACAGCACACACTAGCTGGCCTCCATTACAATCACCCCCTAAACCTCACTCCCATCCGGGTCACGGCACCAATGTAACCCCGCCAGTCCTACATCACCCAACCCGCTCCGAGCTGGTATCGAACTGGTGACCTTCTGCATGGGAGTCGGTTGCTCTAACAAGGAGGCTAAAGACCATGGCCTCTAGCATCTGTCGCACCTTTAGAGGTCAGAGGAGTGAGGTTTACCTGCACAGCACACACTAGCTGGCCTCCGTTACATTAACATAATTTCTTTATGTTTTTCCAACACAAACTAAATGTTTTGGCCCTAGAAATCAGTGTGTGAACTATCCCTTTAAAGCTGGGGCATCTCAAATGCACTCTAAAATGTGGCCACTTCGTATATTTGATACAATCAAAATCCCATCAGGGTGGCACGGTAGCTCAGTGGTTAGAAGGTCACTGGTTCGAGCCCCAAAAACATATGCTGGATAAGTAAGCGGTTCATTCCGCTGTGGTGACCCCTGATAAAATGAGTGAATAAGCCAAAGGAAAATGAATGAATGAATGAATAAAATTTTATCATGCTTTTGATAACATCCTTCTAAATTTCTATCAACCACCTGCAAATGACAGATCACTGATTACTCTAGTTATCAGTGACAACTCATAAACACCCTGCGCGCTTGACACATCTGATAATAATACACCATAAAGCATCATGCAATGAAGCAAACGTGCGTTTTCGCCCCGTGTGCACCATCTGATTAGATTATGTAATTAAAATGCACAGCTTGCGTTGCAATAGTCGCTTCGCATGCAACACGTTGATTGGTTTTCTGATCACATGTCAGGAATTTAAAGATACAAAACAGTGTAAGCGCTGAGTTGTGTTGTCTCCTTCACTTTCGAAACTTTTTAAAATACACAAGTACTTACATTCATGTTGTTCATAAGGCGGGTAGTACAACCTCACGGCGATCAGGATGAAGAAAATAAAGAGAGGCCACACAATCTCAGTCAGCAGTTGGAGCTGCACATGTCGAAAACAAAGAGAAAAAAACAGTCAGCGTTTTCTGTAAAGTGCATTAGCTCTCTGTCTCTAATGTCTGAGGGCTTCTAGTAGGTAGTGTCATCAAGGGCAGGTTTATGTACTGCATTTATTATTAATGCAAGACAGATGATCGATTAGACCGTCCAGATATAGTACAACAGCAGACGGGACAGATCCGCTGGGAACACAGACATACAGTAAACCCAACAGGGAATGAAAGTTATCTGACCACACTTTGCTCCGTTTAGCTGCTCTGTGGATAGTGCTTACTTTTACACTCAATGTAAATGCATCCGAATTGTAATCAGTGGACCATATTTGCTCATGATCTTCTGCATTTTTTGGGTATTATTCCAGGAAATGTAACTGTAGGTTCTAAACATGTCCCCTTAACATTGCCGTTAAGTTATATAACATCATTTTCTGAATGTTCTTAGAATTAATTAAAACATTACACAAAACATTTCAATCTGGTGTTATATTTATGTTCTCGGAACATTATTTCAATCATTTGTTATGATCATTTGTCGTTTGTATTCTGGAAGGTTGATAGAATATTCAAAACATTCAGTTTTTTTATGAATAGACTATATAATAATGTTATTTTTGGGTTATAATAACTTTATTTAAAACGTTTTTATAATGTTTCAGTCTCATAATATTCTCAAAATGTTATTTCTGTCATTATTAGAGCATTCCATTCACGTTATATTAATGTTTTCAGAACATTTCCCTAACATTCTGAGTAAGTTAAAAAAATGTTATTGTGGAAGGTTAAAATGTTCAAAATGTCCAGTTTTTATTAAAGTGTATTTTTTGGGGTTAAAATAACCTTATTTAAATGTTTTATAATGTTTCAGCCTCATAATGTTCTCAGATTGTTATATAAAGCATTGTTAGACCATTCTATTTGCATTATATTAATGTTCTTAGAGCGTTTCCATAACATTCTAAGTAAGTTATAAAAATCTTTTTGTGGAAGGTTCCTAAAATTTTCAAAATGTCCAGTTTTTATATTAATGGTCTATATATTAATGTTATTTTTGTGTTATAATAAAGTTATTCAAATGTTTTATAATGTTTCAGTCTCATATTGCTCACAGAATGTTATTTCAGGAATTATTAGAACATTCCATTCACATTATATTAATGTTTTCAGAGCGTTTTCATAACATTCTGAGTAAGTTATAAAAATCTTATTGTGGAAGGCTCTTAAAATGTTCAAAATGTTAAAAATTGTTAAAAAAAATTTATAGGCTATATATTATTGCTATTTTTTGGTTATAATAACATTGTTCAAAATGTTTTCATAATGTTTCAGTCTCATGTTATATTAATGTTCTCAGATTGTGATTTAAAGCATTATTATAACAATTCTTTCACTTTATATTAATGTTCTTAGAGCCTTTCTCTATCATTCTGAGTAAGTTATAAAAATGTCATACTGGAAGGTTCTTAGAATGTTCAAAACATCCAGTTTTTATAGTAATAGACTACATATTAATGCTATTTTTGGGGTTATAATAACATTATTAATATGTTTTTATAATGTTATATTAATGTAAAATCCAGTCACATTATATTAATGTTCTACAAAGGTTTTCTGTCAGTGTTACGAGAATGTTCCATAAACATTATTTGAATATAACATGCTAACATTGAAGCTAACATTTACACAACTTTTAAGGAACTTTACGGAATGTTCTGAGAATGTTCCCTGTTAACTGAAACACAATATTTTATTTGAAATTTCACACAATGTGTGTATAATTAAAATATTGTTGGAAGTACCCTGTAGACACAAATTTCAATGCCATGTTAACATCAAAACAAGCTTTAGAAATATCTGTTGATTAACAGCTTGTGGCTCACAACTGTATTCACTTTCATTATGCTTTAAACTACGTTATAGAAACTTGACCTCTGCTTTGACAACTTTTGATATTTAAAATGTAACAGTGATTTAACAAAGTGGTTTTCTGTTGTGGTTATATATGAATGTAGCATAATTTGCATGATCAGACCACACAAAATTATATCAAATTACAGTTTTAAAAAAAATAAAAGTAACTTTTTTAAACTTTTAAACATCAAAAGTTGTCAGAGTGGAAATAAAAGCCTGATAGTAATCCTAAAGTGTGAATAATCTGAAAACACATGAATCCTGAGCTATATGGGACTTTGAATTAACAGATGCTGTATTTACAGTGTACTAGGTAATACAGTGATTTTTTTTTGTGATTGTTTAAGAAGCAAACTACTCTAGAAGAAAACATTCTTTGAGATGACAGACATTTATCTTGTATCTGGGAATGCTTCTGACTCACTTTAGCCTTTAAATTAACAGTTCAACCTAAAATAAAAATGCTGTCATCATTTACTCACCCTTCACTTCTGTTGAAATCAAAACAAAAACATTTGAAAAATGCTGGAAACCTGTAACCATTAACATCTATAGTATTTGTTCTTCAAAACCTCAGCATTCTTCAAAATATCTAACTTATTTTGGGGTGAAATATTTAGATGAATCAAAATAGAGCAGCATTCTACGCTCAACATTTTTTGTTGCTACTTATCTACTTATCTACTTATTTAAAATGAGCTGATACAACACAATTCTTGAGATTTTGTTGGGACAACTACATTTTTTGTTCAATCCACTTAAATTTGTTAACTTAATTGATTTGTGTTGGATTATACACTGTAAAAAGTAATTAGTTACTTAAAGTGAATAAACCAATTGCCTTAAAAGCAACAAGTTGACTTTACATAAATAATGTTAGTAAACCCATTGTAACTTGGAACTGTTGAGCTGACTTAATTTTTATAATTAGGCTTTTTGTACTCACTTTTTAAAGTCAACAAATCTTTTTTTACAATGACAAACTATTTTAGCAAGTCTCTTTTCAAATAATTACTGCAGTTATTACAATATTACATAATTGGTGCTTCATTAAGTTTATAAAATGTACAATTATAGCCTGTATTGAATTTAGAAGACATACTGGAGTCTGGAAGAGCAGATTTATTTTAGTTACTGTCATTTTGCTAGACAAAGAAAAGCTGAAAAAAACAAAACAAATGTAATAATTGTGTATTGGAAAAAGTGATTAGTTTACTTTTATTTTTAAAAAGTGAATTCAACTTGCATAATAATAAAAATTAAGTCAACTTAGCAGTTCCCAGCTACAATAGGTTTACTTACATTATTTTTGTAAAGTCAACTTGTTTCTTTCAAGGCAATTTGCTTACTCGCTTCAAGTAACTAATCACTTTTTACAGTGTATGAAAGAATTGTGTGCACCCTACAATTTTATGTATGTATGTATGTCTTTACATAAAGGAGGTTAAGGAATATAAACAACTCAAGATTATAGGACTGTATTATCAGGATCTTGAATGACTAAAACTGCAACAATGATCTCAGGAAGCAACGTTTAAAACTATATTAAACACATTGACAACAACATTTGGCATGAAATGACTGCCACAATTGAATGAAATCAATGTAATCCTGATAGCTAACAAATACTATGTAGGATACACAAAAAAAAAATATGCAGAGTTCCACACAATAATTTGAGTTGGGACAACATGAAAAAATTAAGTCATTACTTTTGACAAATTTAAATTGATTGAAATTTAAATGAGAATTGAGTTGATTCAACTCATTGTATATAATGTAGTTACTTTAAACAAACAATAGTGTATACACTTTTTTTAAAACGCTGGGTTCCACATGATTGCTCATGTTGTCCAACACAAATTGAATAAGTTTATTGTTTAAACAAATCTAAGCGGATTTAAAAATTAATATAACATAAAACAATTAAGTTGTCCCCAAAAAAACTCAAGATCTGTGTTGATTCAGTTCATTTTTAATAAGTAGTTTGAACAAGTAGCAAAATAAATTGAGTCTATATATATATATATATATTAGCCCCCTGAATTATTAGCACCCTTGTTTATTTCCCCCCCCCCAATATCTGTTTAACAGAGAGAAGATTTTTTTCAACACATTTTTAAAGATTATAGTTTTAATAACTCATTTCTAATAACTGATTTATTTTATCTTTGCCATGATGACAGTAAATAATATTTGACTAGATATTTTTCAAAACACTTCTATACAGCTTAAAGTGACATTTAAAGGCTTAACTTGGTTAATTAGGCTAACTATGCAGGTTAGGTTAATTAGGCAAGTTATTGTAAACCGATGGTTTGTTCTGTAAACTATCAGGAAAAAAATATAACTTAAAGGGGCTAATAATTTTGTCCTTAAAATGGCTTTAAAAAAATTAAAAACTGCTTTTATTCTAGCCGAAATAAAACAAATATGTTTTTTTCCAGAAGAAAAAATATTATCAGACATACTGTGAAAATTTCATTGCTCTGTTAAACATCATTTGGGAAATATTTAAAAAAGAAAATAAAAATCAAAGGGGGCTAATATTTCTGACTTCAACTGAATAAAAATCAGATGTGCTGTCTTACCGTTTGTCTCCGTCTGTAGGTGAAGTTCTTCCACAGCAGCAGACCCAGTTGAGTGGAGATGGACATCTTCACTCGGGTCCCTCTTCGCGCTCAGCTCTCAACTGCAATGACACAACGGAGACGGGGCTGACTGACAAAAAAGCATCCAGCAGCGACCAACAGAGCAGCTCAAAAGTCCAGGACAAAGTGCAGCAGCTCCTATCTTACTCTCCAGCGTTCGCTTGCTCTCTCACACGTCTTCCCTTTTCATCTCCTGTCTTTTTTTTTTCCAGAATTCCTGGAAGTGGTGGACCTTGTAGTGTCAGAGATTCATCAAGAAAGGAATTTCGCAGGCCGTTAGAGTCTCTTAATGGTTTGATCATTTCGAATGAACAGGTTTGCTGGAAGTCGAGATCTTGCTCTATGCTAATGGTGCTATTCAACTGCAACAATGAATGATCTTCATCTAACGCTCGCATTGTTCTCGCTGTTTGTATGCTTTTGGTGATTTAATCAGTGACGCCGAAACAGAAATAATCAGGCTTGCGTGAGGCAAGCAAGGATGGAAACCAAACTTAACATGGGATAGTTCACCTAACAATGAAAGTGTGCTTATTATTTACTCTCCCTCAAGTTGTTCCAAAGCGTTAGAAGTTACTTTATTCTGTTGAACACAAAAGGAGATATTTTGACGAATGCTGGAAACCGGTAACCATTGACTTCCATAGTAGGAAAAAATAAATACAATGGAAGTCAATGGTTACCGGTTTCCAGCTTTTAACAAAACATCTTCTTGTGTGTTCAACAAAAGAAAAAAACTCAAAAAGATGTTTTCTTCTGTTGTACACAAAAGTAAACAGGTAACCACTGACTTCTATAGTATTTGTTTTTTCTACAACGCAAGTCAATGGTTACCGGTTTCCAGCATTCTTCAAAATGTCTTCCTGTATGTTCAACAGAAGAAAAATTAAAAGAAGATGTTTTCTTTTTCTGTTGACCACAAAAGTAAACTGGTAACCATTGACTTCCATAGTATTTGTTTTTCCTACTATGGAAGTCAATGGTTACCGGTCTCCAGCTTTTAACAAAACATCTTGTGTGTTCAACAAAAGAAAAAAAAACTCATAAAGAACATGTTTTCTTCTGTTGTACACAAAAGTAAACCAGTAACCAATGACTTCTATAGTTTTTGTTTTTCTTGCTATGGAAGTCAATGGTTACCGGTTTCCAGCATTCTTCAAAATGTCTTCTAAGTTCAACAGAAAAAAAAAATCAAAGAAGATGTTTTCTTTTTCTGTTGAACACAAAAGTAAACTGGTAACCATTGACTTCTATAGTATTTGTATTTCCTACTATGGAAGTCAATGGTTACCGGTTTCCAGCCTTTAACAAAACATCTTCTTGTGTGTTCAACAAAAGAAAAAAAATCAAAAAGAAGATGTTTTCTTCTGTTGTACACAAAAGTAAACCGGTAACCATTGACTTCTATAGTATTTCTTTTTCCTACTATAGAAGTCAATGGTTACCAGTTTACAACATTCTTTAAAATATAATTTTTGAGTGTTTAACAGAAAAAAGAGAAATAACAAAAGTAACCATTCGACAATAAGTGGTGAGTAAATTGTTATTTGTAGGTGAACTATCCCTTTAACCCTGTAAAGCCAGACAAATTAAGACAATAAAGGTAACACTTTACAATAAGGTTCATTAGTTAATGCATTTACTAACATGAACTAATCATGAGCAACATATGTTCAGCATTTATGAATCATAATTGAACATTTACTAATGCATTATTAACCAAGTCCATGCTTGTTAACATTAGTTAATGCACCATGAGTTAACATGAACTAACAATGAACTACTGTATTTTCATTAACTAACGTTAACTAACATGAACAAATACAGTAGTAAATGCATTGTTTATTGTTTGTTCATGTTAGTAAATGCATTAACTAACATTAACTAATGAATCTTATTGTAAAGTGTGACCACAATGAATATATAAATCTGAAATGGAGGGGTTTGTTGCCATACATAGCCTTAACTTATTTAAATGTGTTTCAGTATCTATTTAATACATCATTGTATTGTTCATATAGTATGACAAAAGAGAATTTGAAGAGTTCAGATGCAAAAACCTTTGGAATTTCCTTCTACATCGAGCATTTTTCTCATCCCCTTATTTCACCTGAGACGGTTCATTCCTCTGTGGCGACCCCGGATTAATAAAGGGTCTAAGCCGAAAAGAAAATGAATGAATTTCACCATAAAAGTGATGAAAATAACCAATCCTTTTCTATAAAAGTGAATTTACTAAACCTTGACATAGGAGTTGAGACATAGGACTCTAATTTAACAGGACAACTTCAGAGGTTTTTGCATCTAAACTCTTGATTTGGAGTTTAAAAATCTCAATTTTATTCATAGAATCTATTTAAGAGAATACATTATTTTGTATAGTTGCTTACATTTATACGGCCAAAACGTCAGATTAAATTATGATACTTTGTACTGTAAACACTGTAAACCAGTAGATAGAATCATATTAGATACACTCTTAACTTCATGCTTTATTTTACTAAATGGTGTACGCTTAATCAAGTAAATCTGGGTTGCTTCAATCCACAATGTGTTCATCGTGAAACATTAATATCAGTATAAAAGTTATTCTTATGATTACTTATAGCATAAAGACACTTGGAGGTGGATCTTTTTTAAATTTCACTTAAAAGCGCTTTACTTGCCAAAAAGCGTTTTAAGAAAAATGGCAAAAGAGATCATCTAAATGTCTCAATTCTTTGTCCTACACTTTTTAGAATATAAGACATCTCTGATCAAACATGCAGATTAATCTGACATGCTATCCCCATTGTTGTAGCTCTGTATGTCAACAATTGACAGTTTAATATCTATATTCTTTTCTCATAACAAGTTTTAAAAGCAACAAAGACAAAAATCTATTGCCTTAAGCTCAATTAATACCAAACCGATGCAAAATGCAAGGTTGCTGCCCACATTTTCAAAGTCTAAAACAAAATGTATCTCAGTATCATTCATCAGAGTCGCAGAACAGTGCCTTTCCCAAAGCCCAGAGCATGTCACTTCATTTAATATCTTATCTCGCGCACAGATCTGAAGAGAAGGTGACTAACCGATAAATACAAACTGAATGTTTTTGATTCCAAATGATTCCTCTTGTCATTTGGTATAATTGAAGGTGTGTTTCCCATTAAGTTAAGCTCAGATCACAATGACACGCTTGAGGCTGCATGTTATTCAGACCTCTTTCTCAGGCACGCAGCACAATTCAGTCTTCCACCATTACAGAAGCAGGCGGTCTCAAAGACTTCTTGTACACTTGAAATATGTTTTTGTTTTTAAAATGACAAGAATTCAGCTTATCCCAGTAAGTTTTGTCACTTGATTACAGTCTACACTGTTAAAAATGCAAGGTTCCACACAATTTATTCAGGTTGTCTCAACTAAAGAGTATTAAGTTAACAAATATGAGTCGATAAAACATAAAATAATTAAGCTGTTTCAAAAAAAATCTCAAGACATGTGTTGTTTCAGCTAATTTAAAATAAGTAGTTTGAACCAGCACACTGTACAACCTAAGAGTGAAAATCACTAAATAAAATTAGTTACACTGTACACAATGCAGGGTTCCACACAAATTCATTCATGTTGTCCCAACACAAATTGATTAAGTTAACCTAACAATGTTAACAAAATTTTTGTAAACTGAACATTAAAAAATGAAGTTGTCCCAATGAAATCTTAAGAATTTTATTGTTTCAGCTTATTTTAAATAAGTAGTTTGAACGAGCAAAAAATAATAATTAATAATTTTTTGAGTGTAGTTTAACCTATAATTTATCTTAAAATTACTTTGACTTAATTGGAAAGAGTTATGTTATCAAACCGGACAAGTTATGAATGAATTAATTAAAATATTTGTGTTAACTTAACTCTAAAATCAATACCAAACCATTTGAGTAGCTAAAGTATATGATACATTAAAATATTGGTTTGATAACTGAACTTAACAATCTAAATATTAGACGATATAAACAAACAACAAAATAATATATGTGTATATAACTCGATATATATATATATTGTAAGCAAGTATTTTACAGTACTTTAGAAATACTCAAATATGTCTCTGTCAGTGTTCTCAAACTATTATATTTGATTTACCAAAGTCAAATAAGTGGCAATTTCACATCGGTCACATCCATAACGGAGAAGTGTCACATTAATAACAGCACGTTTTCCTCATAAATGCAAAAATATTAAATAAAATAAAATCAATCATTTTGTTCTATCGAGAACCAACTTTTTATCCTAATGATAATATTTTTTTTCTTTTGGGTTGTGCAGTTTAATTCACAGAAATTTCTACAATATATGTTGTAGACTGCAAACTCTAAGACTTTTTTGTCACATCCGTAACTCATGTTTTTTTTCCCTCATTTAAAATATAAAATATGCTTACAGATTGATATTTTTCTGATCACATAACTCTGTTGTCAGTTGTTCTGTAAAATATAAACAGATGTTTCAATATAATGCTAGCCTATATTTTCCCTGTGATATTATGTTTTGAGTTTTTACTGCAAAATTTCACATCCTTAACGCTGGAATTGCTCATATATTGTTTTTGGTAATTTAACCAGTGACGACGAAACAGAAATGATCAGGTTTGTGGCTGATGAGCAAGGATGAAAACCAAACTTAACATGGGATGGTTCACCTAACAATGAAAATGTAATTATTATTTACTCTCCCTCAAGTTGTTCCAAAGCGTTAGGAGGCACTTTATTCTGTTGAACACAAAAGGAGATATTTTGATGAATGCTAGGAACCGGTAACCATTGACTTCCACAGTAGGTAAAACAAATACGATGAAAATCAATGGTTACCGGTTTCCAACATTCTTCAAATTATCTTCTCGTGTGTTCAACAGAAGAAAAGTTTACAGTAGTCAAAACTATTTGGTTTTAAAACATTCACAATCGTTTTCCCCAAACTGTTTGAGTTATCTTAGCTTATCAGGTTTTACAGTGCAGCACAAATCTTCTTGAGTGTATTTTCAGATTTTTTTTGTTTCATTTTCTTCATCTGGAGTTCATTTTAAAAATTTCAAATTAATAATATTTATCTTTTTTAACTGTTGTGACTATAACATTTTAGTTTTCTTTTCCTCAATACTCAATAACATGAAAGGTTTCATGTTTCTTTCTTCTTCTTTTTTTCCTCACAAACCTTTGTCTGTTGTGTTATTGTTCCAAATTCTTGTTCTCATACTACACTTTATATATTTCTGTGTATATTAAGCTCACATTCTCGTGTCATTGCTATTTGCTGTTATTTTTTGTTTTTGTTTTAGAAAACGTCTGGTTTCGCTTAAGAAACCCTGCAGCTGTTTTCCA